AAAGCTGCTGATATTGCCACGGTTCGAAAACTCGGCAAACCGCCATATTTGATTACTCTGATTATGGACTGCGTGATAATACTGTTTGGGAGAAGATTAGAACCGGTTAAGCCTGATTACGAACGACAATTTTTGACTCCCTCGTGGCCTGAGGCTTTAAAAGTAATATAGTAATGAATTATAATGAATTCTAAGTTCTATCATGATTCTATTATCATAAATTTCAAACTTTATCATAGTGCTATTATAATAAATCTCAAATTTTATCACAGTGCTATTATAATTAATTTCAAATTTTATTACATTGCTATTGTAATAAATTTCAAATTTTATCATAACGCTACTACAATAAATTCTGAAAAAGTGTTCTACGTGCAACCAATTCCTCTTTCACCGTTTCCCTCACAGGTGATGGCTGACACCAGATTCCTCTACAACTTGCAAAATTTCCCAAAGGACAATATCAACGCTGAAACCGTCGACCTAATGCAACCATACATGAATTACAGTTTGTATACTTACGAAGCAGCGAAACAAGCTTGCGGAAATGTCGCCGGTCTCATCCAATGGACCATTTCTATGGTCACATTTTATGGAATAAATAAAGACGTTCTTCCTCTAAAAGTACTTAATTCATCCAACCATTGAAATTTTTCTGCCAAACACCTATCAACCAAAACTTCGTAATTCATAGGCGAATTTAGCTGTGCAAGAGAGCAAATACGAGAAAGCTAATCGAAATTTGACGGAGGCCGAAGGTATGTTAAGAGCCAAAGACGAAGACTTGAAAATAGTGCAATCAGAGTTCGATGCAGTGATGGAAGAACGTCAAGTAATTGATCAAACATACAGAATGTCTCATTAACATTAAAATTATTTCTTCAGTAAATTCTATTTCTTAATAATTGAGACACTCTGTATATTAAACGAGATATTTCTCGTTAGGAAATAGTGGACTTGGCCGAGGCTTGCCAAGCGAAAACTGATACCGCGACAGCGATGATCGAAGGACTCTCCGGCGAAAGAATCAGATGGACGGAGCAATTAGCTACATTTAAATCGGAAACAGATCGTTTAGTCGGAGATGTATTGATCCTGATGGGTTTTCTGTCTTATTGCGGCCCGTTCAATCAGGAATTCAGGACTCTGTTGCAACGAGACTGGTTCGACTTTGTGCAAACCCGAAAGATTCCGATTTCCCTTGTGATCAATATTACGGCCACTTTGACCGATACTGCCACGGTAAGTGATTCATTGATTAGACTATTTTGTGAAATTATATTTTTGTCCTTTGAAAGATTGGAGAATGGAGCTTGCAAGGCCTTCCAACGGACGATTTGTCCATTCAGAATGGGATTATAGTAACGCAGGCAACCAGGTATCCGCTATTAATCGATCCTCAATTGCAAGGAAAAGCTTGGATCAAGAATAAAGAAGCGGAGTTCCAACTGCAGGTGAAATGATTGAAAATTGTTTATTTTATTTTAGGATTTTTATTTGTGTTTTATTTCAGCCTACGTTGCTTACCAACAAATACTTCAGGAATCATTTGGAAGATTGTGTTTCTCTGGGTCGTCCATTGCTTATTGAGGATGTAGGGGAGGAATTGGATCCTGTTTTAGATAATTTACTGGAGAAGAATTTTATCAAGATAGGACTCTCTTTGAAGGTGAAATGTTAATTAATTATTCTGTGAAATTGTTGTTAATTGTAGATCTTTTAATAAACAGGTGAAACTGGGTGACAAGGAAGTGGATATTCACAAAGATTTCAGACTCTACATCACTACAAAGCTACCAAATCCATCATACACTCCAGAAGTGTTTGCTCGTACAGCGATGATAGATTTTACTGTTACTATAAAGGGTATATGCAAGAATAAAGTGGAATTTAACATGGATTCATCAATTTTCATTTTAATCTTTCTTAGGATTGGAGGATCAGTTGTTAGGAAGAGTAATTCTAACAGAGAAGAAGGAGCTGGAAACAGAGAAGACACAATTGATTGCAGATGTGACTGCAAATAATAGGAAGATCAAAGAACTGGAAGCTAATCTTTTGCATAAATTAACTACTGTGGAGGTATGTCTTCAGTTTTGCTTGAACTGCAAGCTTGAGTATCTACTTTGCCTCTTCTTGGATCCAGGGACCTCTGATAGAAGATGTAGAATTAATGTCGGTATTGAACGTTACAAAACAAACAGCAGCTGAAATAAACGAGAAGCTGAGCATTGCAAAAGATACAGAATTGAGAATCGATACGGCGCGTGAAGAGTTTAGACCAGTTGCAACTCGTGGTAGCGTTTTGTACTTTTTGATTTGCGACATGGCTCTGGTGAACTGCATGTATCAAACATCACTTGTTCAATTTTTGGAACGTTTTGATATTTCCATGGAAAGGTGTATAGAACATACGAGTCTTAATTTATAAGTATTTAGAAAAATTGTATATAAAAATACTTGTTCCTTTTAGGTCTGAGAAAAGTCCAGTGAATCAAAGGAGAATTAACTTCATCATTGAGTATCTCACATTTGAAATCTTCAGATACAAGGCAAGAGGCCTTTATGAAATTCACAAATACATGTTCATCCTATTGATGACATTGAAGATTGATTTGCAACGTGATGCTATCACTCATGAAGAGTTTCAGTATTTCATCAAAGGTGGAGCAGCTTTGGATCTGAATACTGTTGCACCAAAACCTTGCAAGTGGATTGCTGATGTCACTTGGCTCAATTTAATTGCACTGTCTGTCTTAAGGCAATTTCAGTACATTGTTTCTCAAGTACCTGCTTCTGAAAAGCTTTGGAAGCAATGGTTTGATAAAGCAGCACCTGAGGAAGAAGTGATACCAGATGGATATAATAATTTAGATACTTTTCGTCGTTTATTATTAATCAGGTTGTTCTGTAGTTGCCTTTTATTTAGTGTAATTATTTTAGAATAGTGTATATAATGTAAATGATGGATTTGTAGAGCTTGGTGTATCGATAGAACTTTGTCACAATCAAGGAAGTATATAGCAACTTCTTTAGGAGACAAATATGCAGCACCTGTGATTACACTCTTGGATGTAATGCACAGTGAATCAAGACCAAATACCCCAATGATTTGCTTCCTTAGTATGGGATCTGATCCTACACCTAGCATAGAACAACTTGCTAAAAAAATGGAGATTATATGTAGAAGTATTTCAATGGGACAGGGACAAGAAGTCCATGCACGCAAATTGCTTAATAGTGCGAAAACTGAGGTCCGTTTATACAGAAAATTTCAATAAAATTGCTTGAATATTCAATAAAGAAAAATTCGTAAAAATATTTAGGGTTTCTGGGCATTATGCCAAAATTGTCACTTGGGCTTAGAGTACATGGCAGAATTAGTTAATTTCATTTTGGATATGGAAGATCCACATCCTAAGTTTCGTATATGGATTACCACAGAACCTCATAAGGAGTTTCCAATATCTCTTTTGCAAATGTCTATAAAATACACTTATGAACCTCCACAAGGTACAAAGTTTACATGATCTTTTGAATTTTGTGTGTTTCAAATTTTTCATTTTATTACAGGAGTAAGAGCAGGTTTACTTGCTACATACAGTGGGATGAATCAAGAAATGTTAGATCAATGTGATGCTCCACAATACATACCAATTATATACACAGTATCATTTTTGCATACCATTGTGCAAGAAAGGAGAAAATTTGGACCCCTTGGGTGGAATATACCATATGAATTTAATTCATCAGATTGGTTGGCATCCTGTATGTTTATTAATAATCACCTGAATGATTTTGATGTGAAACAAGGAATAAGTTGGCTCACTATAAGGTAATGGAAGAAAATTGCTTTCTGTGGTGAACTGAATGCACTTAATGATAAATTAATTTATGTAATTCTTAGATACATGATAGGAGAAGTGCAATATGGAGGCCGTGTTACAGATGATTATGACAAAAGGTTGTTGAACACATTTGCCAAGATTTGGTTCTCAGATGTACTTTTCTCAGAAGATTTTGTATTTTATAAAGGATATTCAATTCTAGTTTACAAGCAAGTTACAGATTACTTAAAAGTAATAGATGAAATGAATGCTGTGGATCCACCACAAGTTTATGGATTGCATGCTAATGCAAATATTACGTAAGTATATCTCCTATTACATAACATAAATATATTATTCAATGGAATTTTACTACTATAGGTATCAGGGTAACACAACACAAACTGTGTTAGATACCATAATGTCAGTGCAACCAAAGGATGCAGGTAGTGGCGGTGGTGAGTCTAGAGAAGCACTTGTAGCTAGGCAAGCAACAGACATGTTAAAAAAGTTACCACCAAATTATGATCCATTTGAGGTGAAAGACAGGTATGTAAAAGAGTACTTTCAAATTTATTTTCATCAACTAATTGAAAACTGCTGATGCATAGATTACACATATTGGGTGCCACTGCACCAATGAATATTTTCTTGAAACAAGAAATTGATAGAATACAAATAGTTATTAAACTGGTGAACATTATTCTCAAAGATCTTTTACTGGCCATAGAAGGTGTTATTATAATGAGTGAGGTAATTTTTTTAGTAATTGTACACCAAACAGTACAAATATATTGCATATAAAAATATTTAGGAGTTGAGGGATGCTCTTGATAACATATATGACGCTAGAGTACCAAAGGCATGGAGAGCAAAGTCATGGGAATCTTCTTCCCTTGGCTTTTGGTTTACTGAATTATTAGATAGAAACAGACAATTTTCTACTTGGTTGTTTACTGGTAGACCAGTGAAATTTTGGATGACTGGATTTTTTAATCCTCAAGGCATGTATCAAGTTGTGTCAGCATTATGGAATTAAATTTTACAAGAATTTCATTCTAAATGTGCAGGTTTTCTGACTGCAATGAGACAAGAAGTAACAAGAGCTCATAAAGGTTGGGCCTTGGATAATGTAACATTACACAATGAAGTTTTACGGTATACAGCAGAAGAAGTGAAAACTCCACCTCAAGTATGTTAATTCTATTGCTTATTTAATGTATTTAACAAAGCACATATTGCTTTTTTATGCAATTAGGAGGGAGTTTTTGTATATGGACTATTTCTTGAGGGAGCTGGGTGGGATAAAAGGTACAACAGATTATGTGAATCAGCAAATAAAGTTCTATACGTACTAATGCCTGTAATTCACATTTTTGCCTTGTATAACTTGCCTGACAAAGACCCAAAATTATATCAGGTATGTCTACATGCATAATAAGTCTTTTATTCATTAATATTACCACAATATTTGCAGTGTCCAGTCTACAAAAAGCCACAAAGAACATATGTGCTGCTGATAACACCACTATGGTTACAAACACACAGACCTCCTGAATTTTGGATTCTACGCGGAGTTGCATTATTGTGCGATGTTAAATAATTATACAGAAATAAAAATTATGTCACGTTATAAATTAATATGTTTTAAATAAGAATAAAGTGCTTTGTAAAAAACACTTGAACAATTCAATGATTATACCTACCTCTTGAAATCGCGCAATATTTATCATCATTGATTTATTTGAAAAACTTTCGTGATCGGTGTAAGGAATAAAAGCGTTCGAAACTTTTGAGTCGTTGAAAATTTTTTAACTCGGCATGGTTCGTAAATTATTGTCACTTTAAATCGCGATAAAAGCACAACTTCCACTCACTACATTCTGACATTTCGTTCATCGTTCCCGGTATTATATTGCACTTAAGAACGAATCGATAGTTTAGTAAGTTTTGGTAAAACAATGTGAGATGAAAATTAAACGATGCAACGAAGCATAACTGTAACACAGTTATCAGTAGTCGCGGCAGGTATACACGGACATTTTTCGTACGCGGAAAATTCATATTACAACTGAAAGTTTCCTGTTTCCGCTAACATGACGTTGCTTTGATTTATTACATTTTTTCATATTCCGTAATATTTTGATTTTAATCTGCTTCAAAATGAAATTTAATCACAATCTGCACTGTCCCATTTCATACAGGTTTTCAAAATATGCTCAACTTTCGTGTATAATTGTTAACATTTCTTTTGTTTCGTAATTCGCGCCAAATTGTACGTTTTAAATAATAGAATAATTGTTACGAAAGAGCAAAAATCGATATTGATCTACGTATCGATATTAACTACGTCAGTCAAATGAAGTATATACATAGAATAAAAAATTAATATTATAGTAGATATTTGCCTATTTTCCTCAAATAGAAACTTGATAAATGACTTTAAAATTCCCAGGATTCCAGTTAATATTTGATATATTTAATTTAATGTATTATACTTTCATAATTAAATTGTATTTTGGCTTGACTAACCGCGCCAGATCTTCCATATTTAAAACGGTTGAAGTAGTTCCGGTATTGGCGCGTGATCGGTAAGACGTAGCTGTCCGGTGCTCGGTTCGCGTTTTTCAATATCGTTAAAAACGGTGTTGTTTCGCAGTGTTTTAATGCATTTTCGTTGCAAAGCATACTTTGCATTCGTTTTATCCAGTGAAATCGTGAAATATAATTAAATATACGAAAAGTGCTCGTTGACCACTGTCGCGTTTCACGTCTCTGCGTATATGCGTGTGTGTAACGCGATCACGGGAACAAGAGACGTTAATTCGTGAAACTTTTTCCGCGTGCATTCGATTGCGTTCTACGGTTTTCAACGTACCGTCGTGTTATCCGCTCGATATACCTCGCGTCTCTATCCACCCTCGCGCCTCCGTTAATAGCAGGCAATTTCGTGTTCCCTCGGCTAACCCGTGTAATTGAGCCAATGTGTGTTAATCAGGGACCGCCTCATTTGCCACGGGGAATAGTCTGAATTGCTTTTGTTACCTGAATTATCCCGCTCTGGTACACTGTTCCCGTATCGATTTTTCGCAATTCCTACAATCCCTACGAAGAAAAGAATCACGTAGAACGAAGGATCAACATGGCGTCATCATGGTGAGTCTAATTTTCAATTTCGCGGATCTTTCGAAATCACCTCGTCAACCGATATACATAAACTACCGCTCATAAGTATTTGCCCGTCTATTTTCTTCCCTCCGTTCAAAAACTCGACAGATTTCTCAACAGAATCGTAAAAACAGAAACATCTCGATCGCGATAAACACATTAGAGGACAGTTTCCATTGGGATCATAAACGATCCCGGTGAGAACTCGTGATGCAATGCGTCGTTATTGCTCGCAAGATATAAGGAGCGAGACGGTTCGCGCATTCGAATCGCTCCTCGTCGCTAGTTATTTCTCGAAAATCACGCGAGCTGTCGCCCCGTTCCGCGTCTCGGTCAAATGTGACGGGGTGCTAGTGGCGCCACGTGCGCGTTCCTCGTCGAGTGTTGTCGCTTATTAAACGTTCCCCTGCCTGTACAAATTCTACTTGATTGGAATTGTGCGCAAGTCGTCCGCAGAGCTACGTCGCATCCGTGCCGTGGAATATTAATTTCACTTAGCCCGTCAGTTCGCGTCGCGGCGACTCGAAGGCAGAACTTTAACTAACAGAACATGATTGATATTGTGTTGCGGAATCCCAGGCACCATGGGCCATGATGTAATCTCAGCTTACGGTCCGCGGTGCATTGTCGCCGCCCGGCAATAACCGGCGGAAGTACGCGTGTCGATTCAAGACGCGGTTGATTTTCAAATTAGAGTCGCCGGTTAAAGCGGGCGGACCCGAAATTGAGCGGCAACATGTTGGAATCCGAATCGAAATGGATGACGGTCCGGGGCTAGATTATACGCGCCTAACGCCGCCTGGTGTTTTGAATCAATTAAATCGCCCGATCCGATAATCCAGTTGTTAGTGTTTGTTTCTACGGCGATTCGTAATCTTGCGATTAGGAAGGGTTGATTGAAACTCGTGGGTTAGGATATAGGCGTGGATATAGGGAATTTTGCGTTACGATTGAAAATTGAAAAATCTATTTTTATTAAGCGTAGGAAAATTTTCGTACTTCTTCCGGTAAAATTCGATATTCATTTGGAAAGAAAAGAAATTGAAATATTCATTATTCTTTTCATTAACTTTTCTTCATCTTTCACGTAAGATAAGGATTTTAATTCGGTAAAGAATTTACGATTTTAGTGTTATAGAGTTATGGACAATGAATGATGTCTTTCTTTCAAATTCACTCAAATTTATGCTATTTCAAACAAGTGAATGTCAACGCTGTAAGCAACCAAAGAGGCGGGAAAATATCTCAATTTAAAATCATTTTAAAGATTGTAAAACCAAATGCAACTAACACTCTCCTACACTTCTTTTTTAAATAAAAATTCCCCTAAGTATAGATTGGCTGACTAACAACGAAGAAGTCGCAAGTTCTACTTAGTCTTCCATTTTCTAACCCTTGCTCCTCCCACAAGTTTCACTTTCGTTTTCTCAAGCTATACAGTGTGACTATTCTTTCAAATTACCGTTATGGTTAATCTCTTTCTGAAGCATAATTAAAAAGACACTTGTGTTATATATCTTCGAAACAAAATTCTCCTTCTTAAGATGGACGGTTGCCCGAGAAGGCGTGGCTTGTTGCCCGAGAAGGCGTGGCTTGTTACCGGAGAAGGCGTGGCTTGATACCGAAGAAGGCGTGACATGTTACCCGAGAAGGCGTGACATGTTACCCGAGAAGGCGTGGCTTGTTGCCCGCCGATCTTTTTATGCCTGCAGAAGCCTAATAAGCTGCCCGTACGGGCAACAACTGAACAGCACTGCAGTAAAGCATCTCTGTATCGAATAGGGAAAAGGCTGCGGGTCAGCATCGTTTAAGCTATCGTCCCACTAGCGTATCCAAAGGCGTCACGAACAGGAATTTCGTAGCTCCGTTGGCCAACGGGGAATCGAGTCGTCTGGAGGTTCTCGTTATCTCGTCCCAGGGATATATAAGTGTTCTAACTTCTAAGAAAAGTTCCATTCGTCCTCTTCGTTTCTTTTCTATCCCATGTCTCCCTGGTCTGGCCATATCTACTCCTGAAGTCGAGCTAACTTTTCTCTAATGCTTCTCGAATGACTGGCGGACATATGACTAAGGAAAATCCTCCCGGATTCTTGGTTTACTGGAAATTTATCTACTCCTTTTTATACGTTGTAAAATCACAGTTGCTCTTCGTACAATTCATCAAAGATATGAGGTATCCCGATTTTAATCTCACTACAGTGGGTTGCTCATGAATTAAACGACCGAGTTTCGAACGGACTTTCTGAAATTCTCTCTGTTCCCGTGATATCGAGGACGGTTCTTTCGAAAAGGAAATTCGAAGCTGCACTTTTCAGATTTCTCCAAGATAGTCGGATGAAATTTTTGGTTACCCAGCTCTCCCTCAATATCTTTAATTAAAAGGATGCCCTTTGGTTGCTGGTTTCTTCCCGATCGTTTCTCTAGGTTATTCTGTAAAAGTACAGGTTTTCCGAAGGAATAAATGTTGTTATAATTTTTATCGTTACTTAACGTGTCCTCACTTGCCTCCAAAAATTCATTCTTCACCTCAATTTCAATACACTATTAGTTAAAAAATATTTACTTGCAAGAAATGCATTTGTATCTAAAAACTTGTTTAAATACTTCACAACACAGGGTCTAATAAGCAAGAAAAAAATTATTTCAACGACAATAACCTTCCTATATTCAATGTTCCCTAATTACAACACAACCTTAGATGCACTAAAATACTCTTCCTTGAGGGACACGGTTTTCCATCGCAGCGACCTCACAATTCCATGAGGCCAGGCTCACTGGATTCCCCTAACCTCCTAGATTCCCAAAAGTCCAATTTAAACACCCCCAAAAAATCCTACCATTCTCAAAATCCCATACTTCCCGACCGCGAACATCTTAAAATCCAACTTAAGGGGGTCTTCTAGCGTGACTGCCGTTTTTTAGGCCTTCTTTGCTAATTTATTACAGACGTACGGTAACAGTTATCAACATGAGCTTTATTCCTATGTGTTTACTTGTCCTTGAAGAATCATTACAAATTTTTTTCATTGAAAAATAATTAAATATGGCTGCTGTGGAACACGTTAAACAGGAGCATGAAAAGAAAAAGTAGGTCCATGGTTGCCATGATTCGAGCTGTTCTGCTTATCAGAAATAAAAAAATCCAATTGATTCTTATTTAGTATGCGTGTCGCTATGGTCGGTAGTAGAATAAAAGAAATATATTGAAAATTAAAAAAATGGCGGCACTTTGAATACGAAGTATCGATTTCGTCGACTTTTTTTCGTCTTTCAGAGGCTCCAAAAATCAGAAAAATGTATATTTTGGCATAATTCTACTACCGACCATAGCCACACATGTTCCGAAGACGTGTGCAAAATTTGAGTTCGATTGGTTCAGTAGTTTTTGCCAGATCGTGGCAACCATTTCAGAAAACATGGTTCCGAGAAAAACGC